ACTAGCATTATCAAAAGTAAAAGACTGAATTTTAGTCTCGCAATTATATTATCTAACAATACTGATAATATCATTATATATATTATTAGCATTGTGAGAAAACTCAATAATTCTAAAAGCAATAATTTTCTTATGCATGCACCAAAGTGGATCTATATAGTGTGCGGTTACAGTTATATATGCTCTTTTATTAACCCCTTCCCATATATCAGAAGTTAAAGATATAACACCCCCATATTATTGCAAATCCATAATTAATTGTTCTTTTGAATTATTGAAATATTGTATTGTATCAGCATGAAGAATGTTTCGACTTACCCCAATGTACCTTGGTTGCAGATATTCTTTCACGAACGAGACGAAGTGTTGGTTGTCTGCAATAGCCAGAGGCAACTCAGTGGCGCAACAAATTTCACCATTTCGGTTCGAGTATTGTCCTCCAAATACACCCACGTGGATGGGGTGAAGTCGTAGAACCGGTGCCTGGACTGTCAAATTGCAATTGTGTTTGACCAGTTAGAAGAAGTCCATGTCTGGCCGCACATGCTTTGTAGTGACGGTTGAGATGAGTGGTACCAATTCTTTTTTACCATGCTAATCTTTGTTGACAGTATTTACATATTGCTTTAGATTCTGCAAGGCCATCGACGACTTTTTCCATTAAAATCAACTTAAAGTGATAAGCATTTTCGTTCTCATGTTCCGCTTCAAGAACGTTAATATCATCCAAATCAATTGGATTGTGGCTTCCCTGACCATGAATGTGAACATCTTCAGGTATGGATATGTCATTCAGACCAGCAAATTCATTTGAAAATTGACTTTACGGCGTCCTAGGGGATTTGCTATGATGTGGCCCACATCCGGTATTGAATAAGCTCTCAACAAATGAGCCTTGTCTATTTGTTTGATTGTTTATGATAAAATCCAAATATAATAACTAGAAAAATGTAAATGTAGTGAGATTGTGAGAATTGAGAATTGGATGAATTGAAATTATAACTAATAAACTATAAAAATTGAATCGATATTGTATATTTTGTAGCACAAAAGACTAAAAACTCGATAAGAGAGTTCAAACTTGAGAGAGTTGAAGTAGTGATTGAGTAATTGATATGAAAAAAAGGAGGAGTTAATGTGTATTTATAGTAGAAGGGAGAAAAAAATCCAGTGACCAAAATGGTCACTTTTTTTAAAAAGTGACCGTTTTGGTCGTGGCTCTTTATTTTTTACGAGCCACGAGCCGAGCGAGTCGTGGCTTTTTACTTTTAACGAGCTGCTCGTGGGCTCGTATTTAAGGCGAGTCGAGCCCGACGAGGCCTGCTCGGCTCGCGCTCGGACTCGTGATTTTACGAGCCTGAACCAACTACGAGCTCTATTTCGATGAGCCGAGTGGTCGAGCCGGTTGGACCGTAGGTGCGATGATTTACTTCATGGGCGAGGTCTCTGGTTCAAGTCAATTTGGAATATTATTTCATTGTTAAATTATAATTTTTTGAGTTAAAAAAGCAAAAGATGATCAGACACTCGCCATCTATTTTCATTGTTCAAATATTTGACAACACGAAAAATCATCGTTCAACTCTTTGACAATATGAAAAAACCAAAAGCTCTACCTCCCTTTCTCAAGAGGATTCACAGCATGTCAAGCGCTGGTAAGATTCTTCGCTTTGCATCGAATTAAACCACATACTCCATCGCTTATGCGGGCCCCCTTCAATTTTACAGCTAGATGAATGAACCGCCTGGAGCTCGTATGAGAGTTGGTTTGACTGAAACCAGTAAGCAAACAGCGAATCCATAGGTATTTGAACCCTAGTATCAAGGATTTCCTTTTTTACGTCCCCATGTCCCTCCGTGTGGCGACATGGGGGTGAATTTCTCGAACGAACTGCACTCCTTCGTATATGTTAGGAGTCCATCGCTACCTATTAGGGATATATAGCAACTCTAGAAGATGAATTATATTTCTCATTATACCCCAGACATATTTTGTAACGCCAGTTCGAATATTTTTGACCCCTCAATTCATTTTAGAACATACTCAACTTTTTCATTTATATTGTATTCACAACCGTGTCACAAAACTCAAATAATTAACACAATTGTCTGGCCGGTGAATACAAGTTGAGGTGTTAGTTAAATAGTCATCCTTTCTTACTTGAATTCCTTCATTTCAAGTCAGCTACTTTCCTAGAAATGTCCCATCAAACCGAATCAATCATAATTATTGGTAACATGCTAAAGTAACAACACTGAAATAAAATTCCGAGAAACGGTAAAAAGTCATAAGGGTATATATAAGTGAGGTCAAATGTGCCTTAGTGACTCACACAATGAAAAAGCAGGGATCAATTCTTTCATTTCTTATTGCTCGTTAAAGCACACGCGGTATGAAACACGTGTTATGATATTTTCTCCCTTTCTTAGGGCGTATGTCTAATCTTGCAAATTAAATACATCGTACAAATCATAGTTTAGATATTCTCGATATCTAACTTGAGTTCTCCTTATATTCATTCCTCCAAATATTCTCAAATCGAGAACTCGATCTGGCTACTAAACGGGTTTAATGGATAGAAAAATCCATTTCGATTACTTATTGTAATATCATCTTGATACCTTAACAAGGCGACTGGATCATGTACACAACATGATCGCTATCAAGGCCACAGGATCATGTACACAACATGATCATTTTGTCTCATCTTAGCACATCTCAAAACGTCTAAGACGATTGCTTGTGTGAGTGAGCCAATCTCAACCCATTCAACATACGTTATATGTGCATACAAATCATTTATCTCATAATCCCAACTTTAGATTACACATGAACTCAAAATTGTTCATCTATGGGCACATAAAACTCAATCAAGAGTTTGTCTGATATACCAAGTATCATATTCTACGAAATTCTAGAGATTCCATATTATCAACAAATATATCTCTAGACATCTTATCACAAAGGCACTTTCTTTGCTAATGTCTCTCACAGAATTATCATTAATTGTTTGATTCCATCTTGATACCTGAGATCTTAGCATATAAGATAGTTGCGTATCTATCATGGATCTCATATTCTCAACCAGTATCATTAGATGCTAAATACATTCATACCAAACAATTTCTTTAGCTGCCAAGATATACATTACTACATATGCTTCTTGCTACTCTATATAGCAAAAGCGAACAAGTCAAAAAACTAATTATGCTCGACTAACTCTCATTCTTAGTCAACAATTGTATATCTATTCCAATCACAAGTTATTCATTTGACAACGAAATAGAATAACTGATAGTAGCACCCTTCAGGTATCACAATACATTTTTAAAACATAATATTGATACCTACTGATTAGATCCATGGCATGACCATTGTTAGCAAAAGTATATATCATAGTATACTTCTATCTCCTAACTCTTAATCGTATTAGATATGGTCATCTGGATATTTCTTTATAACCTTAT